ATTTGATTTAGGCCGTGATGACTTTCTGAAGAGCGTGTAATATAAAGAAATCATCTTCTATAAATTTTGCATGGCTTTAAACTTGACTGCACTCTCCCTCTGTCTTTGAGTAAGTGCTTTAAATCAGGCATCTATTCTGCAGCATATGGCCACTCTGTTATGTATCCTCTGATGAATTTGTCCTGCTTTTTTACAGATTTTATCAGAACGGGGCAAAGACAAAAGCAAAGTCACAGAGCGAGTGCAAACCATATCGTTTTACTAAGCTCCTCTATGGATTGAATAGGAAAAGGCCATGCTGCAGAAGTTCTTCACTAAAACAAAACCATTTGTGATTTATTATGCAACTACCTCAGGAACGCCAAAGACTAAGAACCACAAACACTTTTGCCAACTTCTAGATGCATTATTGTTGTTTAATGAATTTGAATGATGTAACACTTATGTAGTGCGTATATATACTATTTTTATTTTTCAAGTGTAATTACTGTGTAGTGTAAGGATGTGTGAATGGGTAAAAGGCCCAGGGTTTAGGATTTAATGTATAAAGGTATAGATTGTCATGTTTGTGGGGCCCTCGCTTATACGCTAATGCAGCTTCCTGGGAGTTCCTTTTCACAAAGCACTTATGTTGGTATGGATTTTCCCTCTTATCTGATATCCATGTCCCTCCTTCATGTGGGCTGGCTTGCTCCTGGCTGACCCCTCCCTGACCAATCCAGTGGAACCTGAGAGTGACCTCACACAGCCAGTATATAGAGAGCTGGGATGGACTAGTTTGGGTTCTTGGTCGGTGTCAACTCTCTAAGCAACATGTAGCAGCCTAATGCTGAAGTCTAGAGCCTCCAGGGTTCTCTCTCTCTCTAACCATCTCTCCTTGGGGTATGATATGTTCTGTTAGGTCTGCATGTATCTTGTTATAATTCAGTGTCATTAAATGTCCTCTTTTATATCTATTGGTTTGGGCCTAGTATGTACAGCAACGATTACATCTTCATGATGAAAACTTACAAATCATAGGAAGTAGTCTGTGGATTCCAATGAATATGAATAAAGATGAAAATATGAGATTATAATATAAGATTGAGAATAAAGCCTATAATGATGCATTTAGGGTGCTGCTAAAAATCCCAGGTTAAATAATGGCAGTCCTTTGGCTCAGGTCACCTCAATATCTCCACAGATTTCGGGCTGGAGCGGTATTAGTCTCCTTGATGGAAGCACTGGTACAGCTGTCTTTTATTCTGACTGTATTCTGGTCTTAGGTGTCTTAGGTCTGTCTATGTGTGGACCTAGAGTCTAAATAGAGAAATGATGATACACACAGTACATATAATACTTGCTATAATTATTATGATACTAATATAATAGCATCTAGTTTTGTTTAAATTTAGAAGTGTATCGAGGGGAATCAGGGGATGGGGCTTGCGTTTGAAGATTGGGAGATGGAGTCAGCATGGAGGAGATTAGACAAATGTGGCTGGTGGCAGTAACTTCCGTCTGTGCCATATGGATTTGAAGCCCAGGCCTGCGCTCTCGGCCAAGGTTTAAAATAGCTGAAAGATTTCATGTGGCATCACCGGAAAAGCATGTCAGTGACTAAGGGGGCTCAAGCACTCACAAGTCACTTACTTTTCCCACTGCAAGTCAACCCCAAGTGCACTGAGGAAGCACTAAGAGTTCAGAGGTGGCCTACTCAAAAAAGAGAGATAGTATGTTTTGTGTAATAAACTGTTATTATTTATGACTCATGCTCTCAGTGTGGTATTACTGCATGAACTCTAACTCTGACTTTATAACAAGTCTAAAGAAAAAGGATAACATGAATTAATACAATTTAGGACATCTACATTTTGGTTTGTGATCATAGACTGTATATATTAACGGATGTAGTCACGCCTATCTCCGCCGTTTTAACTAATGGGCCAAAAATTGGGCTTTTATGGAGTGATTCAAAATGGCCGCGGGGGCTGGAAAATGTGAAAAAACGCATCTGTGCATGCGTCAGCCGGCACGAGCCCCATTCATTTGAACGAGAGACTTCAAAAATTCACAGCGAGTAAACTAGAGTGGTCCAAAAAAATTACCCCCCTCAGCATTGACACACATGTGGAACGGAGCTTTGGGCCAAGAGCCAACTTTTGGACCATCCTGTAAAGACGTTTTCGAGAGCTAAGAAGATGCTATATGTTAGCATTGGCTAATTCTTATTCCGGGTCCACCCCCATCGGCCCGGGGTGGTATTGCAGCATGTCAGCGCACGTCATTTTGGCCACTTTTGAGCCGGGACCCGCCCCCACTGGTTGTGATACCAGCTCCATCTTTCTAACCAAGCAATATATAGATACCTTATTTAGACAATATAATACGAAGTTACATAGATGCCAAAATCATTTTCACTGCAAAAGATGGAAAGTATAAAAGGTCTCCTAAAGCAGTGAAGAGAAGTTGTCACAATATGCCAAGTCGTGTTCTGTTTTCACAGTCTTCCTGCATTAAAAGACACATAATTAATTAGTTTTTCTATCTCTTCAACAACAACAAAACATGCATGGAGTGGCGTTTAGCTTGTACGGTATGTTTAATGAATAAGTTGTTTAATGATTGCTCTGACCTTGAAATAAATATTGTATCATTAAAGACAGAAATCCTGCGCTCATTTAGTAACTACATATTTTGTTAGCTACAAGTGCATTTATGGACAAATACAAACAATTCATTAGTGTGTGTTGTCTCTCCCGTAAAATTACTTTTGTTTTTATTTCATTTCATTTGACTAAATAATACATTTTGCTCTGCTCTGGCCTGTACATGTCCAAAGCATATAGGTGGGTAATGCTAACCCTCTCGCTCAATGGTTTGTCGGTGAACACTTCATTGAGCGAGAGGGTTAGCATTTTAGTTATTTTACTCCAACACGCTCTGGCTATTGACTTTAAAACACTGGTGCTACTGCCTATGCTGTCCAAAGCGCTATTGCAGATCCCAAAAGCTTCTGAAACGACATGCATTCACCTCGGTTTGGAGTTATAGCTTTGTACCTGTTTTTTTCCGATCCACCCGCTGCGATAAGTGCCACTTTTTGTCATTTTGTTTTCACAAGCGAGCAATGGAAATGATGATCTAATATTATTGTGTCCTGCAGAAAATTCCACGTTGTCAGGCGGTTGACGCTCTGTACAGTAGCAGGGAGCAGATCTGCGTTGTCATTTGAGTGTGGGATAAATGCTGATTCGACAGGCTGCTGTAAAGCTGAGTAAACGTTGCCTTGAGCAGAGAGTTGAAGCAGGGCTCGTAGGCTGCTTCTGGCTCTGTTCTTGTAAATCTACTGTAAATATTACCCTTTTCTCAGTGATCTCGGTCTCAAATGTTCCTTGACTGTCGTGCCATCCACCCTCCTCAATTTTTTTTTAGCATAAACAATATATTATATACACTATACTATAATGGCTATTTGTCAAAGTAGTAGAAGTGACTTCCAAAAAAGCTGCTGACGTGTGTGTTATGGCCAAAAATCAAATCTCGAATAAAAGAAATTTCTCTCACTTTGTGTACTTGAAATGTAAATTAACTAATGGGTGGCTCACTTTTGATTCACTACAATGGAACGACTAAATTATCTCAAAAGAGTTTGGTTCTATCACAAGTTTTCACACGCAGGGAGCATGTCTCTGTCACATCTTTGAATCATCTTTTCAGACAGAAACACGATAAGGACCACCCTCACTCAGCTCCAATCAGCTCCTAGCCCAAAGTGTCACATAATGCCTTGTAGGATTCTGCATTATGCAAAAGATAGCATATTTTCTACTAAGATGAAGACAGAATGCTGAGTTCAGATTTGTTCTAAACACTTCACGTTTTGTGTTTGCTACTGAATTGTAAGATGTAAAATGTCTCTCGACTGTCACTCTATCTTATCCACGCATCCACATAAAGAAACCTTACCTAATGTGTGCATTAAATGGGAGCTTTAGTAATGGCTAAGTGTCCACAGTTGGTATAAGTGCTCTACAGAAAATGAGTTGAGACAGTCTCATTTTCCCCAGGATCTTATTAGACCTTTAACACCCGACAGCACGGTGCTTTGTTTTGTGGTTTACTTTCAGCCAAATCAATGATTATTGCCACTTTCTTATTTGTGCAACAAATCAGAAACATCTCAGTATTGACTTTTCAGTAACTCCACAATAAGTCTATTCTACACCCCATTCTACTACAAATGGCTCAGGTCTCTATTCCTGAATACTCTTGGATACTTGCTTCTGTTATTTGTTGCCAAAGAACAGAAGCAATGATTCTATTTGGAAAACCTGACCTGTTACAATGTTGCATAATATTACCTACTGTATATTATATGACCTTTTTTTGTCCACAAAACATTTGTTAGATTAAAACCAAAATGCACCTCTTAAATTATGACATAATCAGGGTCACACATCACTGAGCAGTGTTGGGGTGCAACTGAATACATGTATCGCCATTACGTATTCAGAATACTAAGAGTATTCAATTACAGTTACTATTCTAGTATTTAGAATACAGTTACTCTTTGTTACTCTAAAAACACACTACATTATGTTTTTAAGAAATGTGAATATTCTATTTTTGTTTTCTTTAGCAGCTGTTGAAGCACTTTGACTTGTCTCACAAAAATGTTTTATTTATTTAAACATGTATTGATAAACATGCATTTAAAATAAATACAAATAATAATAAAAAATAATAATACAAATAATAATAACCAAAAGTATAAATAAATGCATTCTAAGTATCGGAATACAGGTACCACTTTTTCCAAAGTAACGGAATACTTTCATTTTTAGGTTGTGTTTTCAGTATTCTGGAACAGAATACAATCTCAAGGTATTCTACATCACAGACCAGAGTGGTTTGTGTCCCTGGTCTTTGAAAAGCGCTATATAGATAAAGATGAATTACTTACTTACTATTTTGTAAATCATCTCATCACGTTTACCTTTACCGTTGTCTGTGCGCAGGTCTGAACCCATCCTGACCCGGATGAAGGAGGACCACACCCGCATCATCCTGCCCGCCATTGACAACATCAAGTACAACACGTTCGAGGTGCAGCAGTACGCCAACGCGGCCCACGGCTACAACTGGGGGCTGTGGTGCATGTACATCATCCCGCCCCAGGAGTGGCTGGACAAGGGCGACGAGACGGCCCCCATCAGGTAAGGCGTGAGGTATTTCTCCACAGCAGATCAGAGCGTTTGATGAAATATGGATAGCCGTGGGTTATGACTTATTCATGTGGCGAAATCATCAAACTGACGGGAGTGCAGTGCGACCTGGCACCCAAACATACCAATAAATCTCCTCTACAAAGCGCTCTAATTATCAGGATGAATGTGGGTCATTTGGATGCAGGATCGCAAACCACACAGTTGTTTGCGGTAATTGTGTTTTTAAATGAGCAAAGCATCAACTAATAACTTTGTTGTGCTCTGGTCACGAGGACATTTATTTTTCATCAAAGTATATCTCATGCATATGAATTTGGTATTTGTGGACTTATTGTCCCTGTGGAAGAATTTGTCTTCTGCATTTCACACATACTTCTTGCAGAGCATCAGGGCAATCTGTCAAGTATCAGAGCTGCACATTACCCATTTCCCAATAATGAATAACAGCAAGAGAAGCTGCAGAGCTGACGGCCTTCAGTTGTTTGTTCTGATGGTCGCGGGTGGCACGGTGGCGCAGCGGTGCCTGTGCTTTGATTCCCCCTCTGTGTCTGCGTGGGTTTGCTTTAAGTACATATAGGGCGGCACGGTGGCTGAGTGGATATCAATTTCTGAGTGTAGCTCGTATGTTCTCCCTGAGTCTCCGTAGGTTTCCTCCGGGTGCTCCGGTTTTCCCTCCCACTAAAAATATGTACAATAGGTCTGGCAAACGCCTCTTGAATGACGACCCCCACTCCCATCTCTGTGTGTAGTGAGAGACAAATGCCCACAACAATTGGAAAGCGCTTTGTGACCCTGGTCTGTGAAAGGCGCTGTATAAAACGATTACTTACTTACTTACATTAGGTAATAAGCCAAGCAACAACATCAGCACTATAGCGACCACTGCTCCTGACAGATGTTCTAGTGGCATTACAGGATGGATCAAATGCTGAATCTTTGTTAGCGGAGGGCTATCTGGTCAGGAGGTCACGTAAACAAATGTCTAAAAATCAAATAACATTACATTTTCTATTATATATAACAATTTAAATTCCCACCTCGACACCTTCTCCACCGACTACCACAGATGTCTGCTGTCGTTGTGTCCTTGGGCAAGACACTTAACTCCACTTTGCCCAAAGCCCCCGCTGAAAGATCCAGGCTATGCTCACACTCAGAGAGCAGCCGTCCTCCTGTGGACTCACCACCTGCAGAGGATCAGTGAGGGGCTGGTGCTATGAGACTTGGGTGGCAGCTCTGATTGCCAACCCCCCGACCCAGAAATGGACAAAGGTGTAGAAAATGGATGGATGGATGGATTTTACAGACCAAGGTCACCCAAAGCGCTTTACAATGTTCGGAGTTCAGATATTGTTGCAATCATTCCACACACGGTGATGACAGAAGCAAGTCGCCGAACACACTGGACCATCAGCTCCAATCAACACCATCCATTCACTCTCTCATTTACATTCATACCTATTGTGCATGTTTTTAGTGGTAGGGGAAACCGGAGCACCTGGAGGAACCCTATGCGGAGAGAACATGCAAACTCCACTCAGAAAGGCCCCGTTCCGACTGGGATTCGAACCCAGGGCCTTTTTGCTGAGAAGCGAGAGTGCTAGATACGAGTAGCTGGCATTGAGATCTATACTCTTTACTTGATACTCGGTCAATATCTATACAGTACATCCCGGCATGTCATTAAGGCCTTCTTTACAATACCATATGAATCTTATTAGAATTACCTCCGGACATACCGCGGCTATTATCTTGCTGTTCCACACCTCTCCCTGCGCGACATAAATGGAAATGCACTTAATTGCTTGGTGCATACGTGACGGAGGAGAGCAGCGCGTATAGAGGCGGCTGACAGCTCCATGTTGCCTGCAGATGTTTGTTTTAACATTGAAGGTAGGAGTCTGCTGCTCGTGGTCAATCCATATTAGCAGCATGAAGCCGCTCCTCCACCGCTGTTCACCCTGCCAATATTCATAAACACTGCTGGATTGCAAATGTTGCTGGAGGCTCAGTGTATTGGCACTTGAAGTCAGTCAGACCAGAATTTAAATTATCCCGACTTGTGAGCCTCTCCTGTAATAATGTCATTCAATTAAAATAATGGCTCAGAGCATAGTGCAGGGCATATTTGAGGTGGGGGGAATTACTGTTAACTTATACAGCACTTTAATAAATGCAAATGGTGTCATATTGCCATTTTAAATAGGGTCGGAAAAGAGTCAAGGACAAGTGTATTCATTTTGTTTTGGATCCAAATACTGTTTAGAGCAATGCATATTTTGAAATCCTCAGCTATTCAAATGTTTTCAATAGGCTTTTCTAAATGCTGTATACTAAAACCAAATCAGTGTCCGTATTTCTCAAAGCTGTTTTGTTACTGTGACCTCACATTTCCACCTGTTTGGCGTCTTGAACATAATGGTTCAATGTCACCATACATATTTTTGTTCATAATTATATCCTGCACAGACTACATTCTTGACCTTTAACATGTTTGCACACCGTCTTTTGCACTATCTGAGTGATTCTATCTAAGCCAAATGTGACATGTACATTAGAGTTTCGTTCGGGCCTGAAAAATCAAGCCCGACCCGGCCCGAGCCCGCTAATACTAAGCCCGAGCCCTTACAAGCCCGACCAATTAATGTTGTATAATAGGCCCGAGCCCGACAGAAGCCCGACTCATCTGATTTCCCTTGTTGTGCGCACTCACCTTCCAATTGCAAGTTTTGTACGTCCACCTGATCCATTTCTGTTAATGTTCCGTGTGTTCGCTGTTGACCGTAGCATTCAACAGTAAAAACAAGGATGATGCGTTCATGGCTTGCTGCGGCTGTAGGACACGCCGGTTACGGTGTTATAAATATATCAACTTTTTTAATAACTTGTTGTCAATCAACGGACATTATTATTAATAAATACATATATGCATATCATTATGTATGAAAATAATTTTAAAAAAATAATATTGATTAAAAAAAATGAAACTCGGGTCGGGCTCGGGCCTGCTCGGGCTCGGACTCTAATGTACATTTCTCCAGTGTGAGATCAATAAAGTCTTTCTTATCTTATATGATGGAAAACAGTCTTTAGTAAAACACCCACAAATCACCCACAATATTATCAGACATTTTAAGACTCTTATACAACTGAAACACACACCCCTTGAATCTCTTACACATGTTGTCGTGTTTACAACCATTAACAAACAAGATTATTTTTTGTTTTTTTATTATGTACAACCATGCTTCAAACTTCTCCCCAACTGCATCCCTGACCTCTCTGGTGTGCTCCTTGGCCTTCATGATGCTGTTTAGTGACTAATAGACTCCAACCATTGCTCTAATTACAAACAGATGGAATCTGTTAAAATGGTACGCTATGTTAATTCTTGTGCACGTCCCACTTTTATATATTTTTTAAAACTAAGAAAACCATGAACCTTTTTACTGCACCGTTGTCTGTTACTTGTGTGAGTGAACTTTCAGTTTAAAAAAAAGAAGGTTGTATACGTGACAAAATGTGCAAAAGTTCAATTCAATGTGTGTGTGTGTGTGTGTGGTAATCATCTTTAAAATACTTTAATTCTAGTTTAGCAGGTTTTGTGATCAAATAATATATTGGTCTGTACATTAGCTTCAGGTCAGAGCTAGGCAGGCAAGGGGAAGAAAACAGAAACATTTTCTTTCAAAAATGCCTTGCATCCAGACAGTAATCTGGGTAATTAAATTCTGTGTACTAACAAAATGGTGTCATCCAATTCAAGGCACACAGTTGTAAATAACACAATTTGACTGGAAGAGTTCCAAAAATGCAGTTGTTTTGTCGACGCCACTTTAGTCACACCACAGTGTACAGAGTTTTAAATTAGAACATTTGTAAAGATGGGTCAAGGGAATGCCTTTAATACAGAGTGACATACAGTACATTTTTTGGGGTATACATTGTGCATGTATTCATACTTTGATACACCTTTGTCATACTCCCTCACAGTATTTTGAGAGATTTGAAAAGGATAAAAATCAAACCAGAGCCACACAAAGCTCTTCTGAGTTTGCAATCGACTCGCCTGTGCGTACAGATCGTCTTAAGGGCTGCTTGAAGTGAGGCGGCCGCCAGGATTTCTATTGGAAATCATTGGTCCACTTGTTCCTCTGAGGTTTCTACCCGTCAACAACACAAGTCCATTCACAGCTTTGACGGACTCCCAGACACAATGCTTTGGACTCATGGACAAAAGAAGAAAAGATGGGCATGAGGAATGCTCAGCATTCAAAGGCAAACAATGCTTGATTTTCTGGATAATAATTCTGTCGTCACTTTTAAAACGTTATCCCAACTGGGGAAAAGCATCTCTGTTTTTGTACAAATTCAAATTCTTCTCATGACGGTTACGGAAAATGGAACTAATGATATGCTCCATGATTAAGATGAAAGTTCTTCTTGATTTATTGGCAAAGGAGAGGACTCCAAATACAGACATCCTCAGCTTATTTCAACCACAGCTTTATTACATTAACTAAAAAAACAGATATATTGAGACAATTTCATGTTGATTCTTGTTTTAGAATTGCAGATATTCTTAGTTTTAGTTTATTTTAGTTTAATTTATTCCAAGCCGGTACAATACAACACAAGATAAAAAGAAATACATTACGATGCTATACAATATTAACACATCAAAAGAAAAGGAAAGAAATAAAAATAAATAAACAGCTTGGAAGGGAGTGGGATGAAGACAAGCTTATTTACTCCCACCCCCATTAAGTCCTCAAGTCCTCATTCTGAAGTAAAACGTGAATGGATATACTTACAATCATGGAATGGGGCATCGTCAGGATAAGACAACGCTCCTATTGAGTGGTAGCAGCAGGAAACCAGACTAGCAGTCGTAGAGCACAGACATCTGCTAAAAGGCACAGTTCCATTCCTTATCTGGGGTTGTCATGCTTGTGTGCACATCGTAAAGGGATCAGCAGTGACACCGT